ATTGTTTCAAAATTTAGCTTAGTTTAGGTCAAATCTGTAAATGCGTAGCAATTTAGAAACTGAAGTCAAATTATTGTGAAGTCATAATACCCCAAACAAAAAATGTGGGTGTCACAAATTGTTTCAATTTAATGTATGCCAAATTTCATGAGTAATCAATTTGTTACAAATTGTTTCAAAATTTAGCTTAATTTAGGTCAAATCTGTAAATGCGTAGCAATTTAGAAACCGAAGTCAAATTGCTGTGAAGTCATAATACCCAAAACAAAAAAATTTGGGTGTCACAAATTGTTTCAATTTAATGTATGCCAAATTTCATGAGAAAACTCTCTTTGAATATTTTTCTACAACACATCAAAGTAGGCGACAAAATTGTGTGTGGGGTTCTATGGAAGCCATATATAAAAAAAATACAAAATTGTAAAATTCTTTGGTAAAATTCTCTAGTTATCCTGAAGTAAAATAATCATCATGGATAATGTTTGAATTTGAAGTTAAATTCACAAAATTTTGCCAAACTAGCCAAAATAAAGTTTGGAACATAAATGACTGACAGGTGAATTTCGAAATATATATTTTCGAAAAAAATAACATGGCTGGAACTCCCTAAAATACAGAAGGCCACAGCTTTGCTGCACCTTATACAAAACTATCTGAAATAAACAAAAGTTAGGACTTGTACTTAAATGTTTCAATTTTTCATATACTGTTGCAACAGCTATAGTCATTTGATTGCTTATTTTGTAAATTCAAAGTAGTTCCAAACATTTAAAATTATACTACATACATGTACAAAATGTAAAATATACAAATTTTAGTATAAAGTCTGCAAAATTCAATTTTATATTTCCATTTTAATGGGTCAAAATTTGATGTCAAAATTGATGAATTTCATGAAATTTAGAAAAAATGGCAGACATGAAAATGGTGGACATGAAATATTTAGAATTCACAATGGTTTGAGCTTTATTATACTCTAACAATGCAAGAAGTACACATTTTCATGCTGTTTCGTTGTTCCTTGGTAAAGTAAGATGACATGTGGGAATTTTGGATTCTTGCAAATGTGTGACTGTTGCAAGGCTACTCCTTGAAACTTTCAAAAATAGCCTCACTTCACACTCTTCATGCTAGCTTTGGGATCTATGCACCTCCAATTCATAGTTATGAAAAATGCGTTTAAATGTGATGTTTTCTTTTATGTGTCTCTTTAGTCAGGAAATGCATTCACATACAAGGAAAACATTAGACAAAATCTTTTGACTTTATCAAAAAACATGGATGTCATGTTTTTGTACTTTTGATTAACTTTAATGTCACCTCAATAAATCTCTACAGATGAAGACACAGTTACAGCTTAATCCTCATTATACCATCAAACAGACAGACAGTGAATGGCTTGTTAGACGGATTGATGGGGTTGTTCTTTATATTATTCTGAAGTTCAATGGATAATGACACAAACCACTTGGTATATGACTTTTGGGTTTTATTGGTCTGTCAATATTTACAAGGATTTCAAATGATCGATTGAAGTCTATGTCAATGCATTAGGAATGAGCATTTTTGCTATAATTTGCAATAGAAAATTTTATCAACAAAACAGCAATACGATGCATGGAATGCCTCTGTCCCAAATGAATTTTTGATTAAATAATTTTTTCTTCAGTTGATTTAGTTTTTAAAGCTAGAAAACAAAATTCCAATGAGAATGTAACATGGCACAATCTACTTCTTCAATTTTTCCATCTGAAGATATTTCAGCGGTGATTAACTGTTACCCTGCGTGCAGAGTCTAGTTAAACGACGAAGCTCTCTTTTAGAAGTGAAGTCAAACGAATGCAAAGGGTAACTAGAAAATGACAACTCCACGGAGTAGCAAATCCCAACGAACACTATACAGGGTGGGCCAAAAAATTTTGCAACCTTTGGTATTGACATGAAATTTTTTTACAGAAACTTAAGGATAGGCATTATCATTCAAATACTTCAACTAATTCTGACTACAATTTTTTTTGTCAGATGTTTGAATATTAATGGTAAATTGTTCATGTGTCCGAGATTTACCGATTTTCCTAGAAATTGTAATTTTTCTATAATTTGATGTGATCATCGATAGAACATTTATAATGTTTACTAATTCTGCTGCAGTCTTTGTTAAGTGGTGTTAATTTGGGCGGCTGTTCATCAGGACTATTGAATCAAGGGGTATTTTGCTCTAGATATTCCATAGTGACATTTGGTCTATGGTCAGGAGCGCTATCCTGCTGGAATATGTAATCACTTGGGGCTGAAAGAGCCCCCATTCTTGAAAGATGTCCCTTTTGAAGAAAATTAGTCCTGAGTCGAATGGCCATCCAATACACCAGATGCCAACCCCTGGGACTATCACACATGGGGGCACCTGGAGCAATGTATTGTAGTTAATGGTTATACCCCACAAATTATTGATCAACTATAAGAAGTTCTGCAGGATAAGTGGAGACGACTACCACAAGAACTGCTGGATCTCGCCATTGACCAGTTCAGTTCTCGTCTCCATGTGATTGTGAAGGTGAAAGGCGGATGCATAGAACATTTGTTTAATAAATAATTAATACAGTGTAACAATATTACGATAGTGACTAGATACTGATATAAACCTGTATCAGACATTGGTTAAACAGTTATCAAAGATAGTAGCAGATTTAGTAAACATAATGAATGTGTTATTGTTGATCACATAAAATCATAGAAAGTCAGATTTTCTAGGAAAAATGGTAAATCTCGGACAAATGAACAATTTACCATTAATATTCAAACATCTGACAAAAAATTTTGAAGTCCGTATTAGCTGAAGTATTTGAATGGTAAAATATGCCTATCGTTAAGTTTCTGTAAAATAAATTTCATGTCAATACCATAATGTTATGATACTTTTTTGCCTTCTAAAAAGGTTGCAAAATTTTTTGGCCCACTCTGTATAAATCATCAATCTGTACAGTCACAATGTAATATTGACCATCTACTCTTACCTTCAATAAATATTTTAAATCATTGTAGTATCATGTAACCATACTTTCAAGATAACTCTAAGTAATGGCGAATTTCTGCTCTAGTCAGCCATTTTGAATTTTCAGATGCGCAAATCAGAAAAACAATGCCATAATTGTGATCTACTCTGAAATTCCTTCAATTTGAGTATAATATAGCCATACTTTTAAGAGATCAGAAAATAATTGCGAAATTCCACATTAGGCGGCCATTTTGAAATTTTGAGGCCCGAATCAGAAAAACGCTACAATATTTGCAATCTACTTTAAATTGCCTTTCATTTGAGTATAATAAAGCTATACTTCAAAAACATCTCAAAATTAACGCAAATTCCTGTTTTCCCAACCCCCCATTTACGGTGAAAAACCCGGGATACATGTGAAATAGATAGATGTTGTTAATATACTACCAAAATTTCGAATTATGATATTTATTATTTTGGTTTAAAATGAAAAACTAATAAGACTTTTCCGAAAAATTCCCGCCATTTTTAAACTGGCGACCATCTTGAAAAAAATCTTTTTTGCGTAAAACCATTCACCAATATACATCTTTCCACTAAATATATAGAAAATCCGTCTACTAGTATTCGAGTTATCATCCGGACGGACGGATGAACTGACTGACTGACTGACGGATGGACGGAGGGCTTCACTATATCCAGACTTGCTAACCTCCCGTTTTTCACGGAAATCTCCCGTAATTTTTTTGTTTTTCCGTAAAAAATACCAAACTCCCGTACCGTTTTCTCCCGTATAAACTCCCGTAAACTCCCGTACCGTATTTCTAATAAAATCTCCCCTAATTTTCTTAAAAATATGGCCGTAAAATCTCCCGTATTTTTGCTGAAATCTCCCGTAAAATCTCCCGTATTCTGGTATAACTCCCGTAAAATCTCCAGTATTCTTAGTATAACTCCCGTAAAATCTCCCGTTTTCTGGTATAACTCCCGTAAAATCTCCCGTATTCTTGGTATAACTCCCGTAAAATCTCCGTTTTTTGCTGTCGAAATCTACCGTATTTAAAAGGAATTTGACAAATTTGTGACCTTGATTATTGCAGGCACGCTTCTTTCTTTTACTCCAAGAAGGATTGGCTCCCATGGTTCACTATCGATACCTTCATAAAAACTTAAAGTATTTCATTCCAATGATTAAAATTGCTTTGGCGATCAGTTCGGTATAAGTTTGCACACCAAATGTCCACAAACGGGGGCCAGTTCATATTCTGTCATACTTCTGTCGGGAGAATACATTTTATTTTTATATCCGACAAAGCGCCCGCCTGGGTCGCCTGCCCACCTGTAAAATACAGGTAACCTAAAAAAACTATTAAATCCCATATTCATTTGGTTCAGAGGCATTTCATTAGCAACATATTGCTCTTTTGTGGATAAATTTTTTTTATTGCAAATTATAGCAAAAATGCTCATTCCTAATGCATTGACATAGACTTTAATGCCTAGATTACTCATTTATACATGTAGCTATATATTTAGTTTATATATGCGTGAGTAACATTAGGAAAACATTTTGACTTATCTCTCCAGCTCTAGTCATAAATCATCATCACTTTACAATTTTTACAATGGTTGATTCACGTATGCTGGTTTTTGTTAAGAATTGATCAATTTTAGAAGTTTGCGAAATAAATAATATCAGATCATTGATCTAAAGTGCATTTTTCAAAAAACGTTCATTGTCTCCTGCTACTGCTGTCTACTGAATACATTTTTTCATTCCTCTGTATTGTTATATCCAAATAATTCAACAACCTTGACACAAGCTTTAATACTATGAACCATGTGTATTTCTTCCTTAGTTAAACCAGTTCGCCATTTGTTTGGAATCTCTTTCGAATTGCGTTTAGTGCCATGAAGTATTTGGTCACTTCCTGAAAATGTATTATTATTTATCCAATCAGCAACTCTATTATGAAATGGAATATTGATAAACTTATACAACTTTTTCGCAATGCTTAATGGATCATAAGCAATGTGCTCATACTGTATCAGTTTTATCAAGGGCATATTATGTAATTGAGATGCTGATTCTCTCGAGAGCCGCTGTAGAAATTCATAATTTGCTAAATCCATCTTACACAAATTATTCATGTCTCTAACTTTGTCAGTCATATTCATATACATATGACTTGGTAACTGTTTCCTCGAATTTAGTACACCCCTAGGATCTCTGATCAAGAAGAACAAAGCAGTGTCACTGCCTAGAACGCCAGCAACACGCTCTAATGACTTTGCACGGATTACCTTTATCGCCACTATCTTTTTACTGGCACAAATGTGTGAAATACTTTCAAAGTCGTCAACACCCCTAAAGGTACTTTTCCATTTGCATTTTTTATGATTTTTCACCCATGACAGAAAATCATTGTTACCAAAATCACAATTCAATATGTCCTTTATGTATGCATTTTGTATTGTTGTATTGCAGTGTTTTAAGCAGTGACAAGCACGCAGTGGCTCAAACATGTAAAACACATCTGGATGCTGCGAAAACAATTCAGAAAAGAAAGTTGATCCACTTCTCATATATGTCAATATAACGATTTTTGTTATATTCCTAGTATTATAGCTACCATCATTGGTAAATGTTGAAAAATTCTTTGGTGTTCTGTAAGCGTTAGATATTACATAAATTATAAATATAACGTTCGCAAAAAGTGCAAGTGAAATTAATCCAAGTTTTCCTGCTTTCCATCCAGGCATTGTTTCATGAAACACTACAACTGTGTATATAATGTGTAAAGCGTAAATTGGTGTAGAGTGGCTAGTTGTTCATGGTAATGTCAACTGATATCCTAAAATTAACCTGCGGTGAAACAGCTTTATTTCACAAAAGTCACAAGCATTATATATAAATCAGATCAAGCAAGCAACTTTATTTTTATCCGATAGACCTTTACAAAAGAAGAATGGCAATTCTATTATAGAAGCAAATCGCAATGAATGAAATAACATATAGTCCATGGTATGACTTCCGAATATGAAGGATCCGTAGCACACTATAGCACACAGGCACAGCAACATTTGAAGCAATATTTATGGAGGTGCATATGTCTTGATTCTTTTAAAATACCATTTGCTGAAAAAACTTAAGGCTTTTGGGTCGAAAAATGTCTTTTCATCACAAGGGGTCAAAAACGTAAATATTTTGATTCGAACTTTTATACACAGACCGTTATTCTAAGCATACGAACAAAAAAGTAGATTATCATAATGTACTAATTTTACTGTAGATGTCGGTGTTTAATTAGTGTAATTACGCAAGTGTATTTTTCAGATTTTGTTTGATTTTTCAAATATGAGCCAAGCAGATTCCATAAAATTGTGTGGAATATTCAAGTAATTTATGATTTGGGAACATATGATTTTTCTTACCATTTAAAACATTTTATTACGAGAATTTACTTGAACATTAGAGTGTTTCAAGACTTTTTGTGCAATTTAAGCCCAATCGCATCAATAGAAAAGCTTTTATAGCTGCTTTGTTAACCCCGGGGTCATTTATTTTAGGGCCATGCAGTTTTATACATAACTGACCATTTTTGCAATAGAAATATTGCTACTCGCTATGGCTTAACAAAAATTCACAATATTTAGCATGTCAAAACGTTTATTCGTACTTCCATAATGTTTATTGCCAAAATCACTGAACCATGAAACAAAAAAATGGTCAAATCTAGTCATTTTCGGTCAGAGATTACCCCAAATTAGCCATTATTTAGTGATTAATTTTCAGTAAATGAGCTTCTATATTAAATTATCATATCAGTTTTGCAAAGCAATGTTCTTGTTTTAATTACATGCATGTTAGTAACTGTTTTCAGCCATATTTGGTCAGTCTATGGGGTTAAATGTGTTAATTTTGTCATATATTTTCAAGAAAAATTCAGACACAAAGGAAAAAACTGTATTACATGCTATGATAATGGCTGAATCCTTAAATTTGGTAATAATTTGATAAAAGCCTGTCAACAACCTCTTAAAACCAGCACTAACAGCCCTCTTGTGCTATCCTGTAACAAAATACAGGCCAAAAATGGTCAAAACCTGTGATTTTTAGGTAAAAAATGAAAAATGCTGAATCAGCGAAAATCTAAATTGCTAATTCTTCGGATGATTTGATTTTTCTTAGAGATGCAAGGTACACATTGCTAAGAAAGTATAATTTTTACAAAAATAACGCTATTTCCCACCCTAGTACTGTCACCACCCTGTTGCTAATAGGGTCAAGATTGCAGTAAAAAATCCCATTGACGACCATTATAACGTTTCATTTCATAATATATTCATGGGCACAGATCTAGCTCAGCGAAACAGTGCCCAGTGTTCATTGGAGTCTTGTCTAGCTTGCCGTTACAAAATAAGCATACGGTGACCACACCGTTTTTGAGATAACTGAATCTGGAGAGAGCTACCACCGTAAAGCTACCTGTTTCAGAAAATTATTCTGCTCTACATAGTCTCAAAAATCACTCCGCCATCTATAAAGATTCTGTTTCTAACCAAACTTGTAAATGTTTCCTGATAGATTAGTACTTACCCTATCGAAAATAAACCTTGATTCATTTATCAAACACTAGATGGCGCTGCGACGGGAGAGAAAAGGAGAAAAGCTTTTTTATACAGAAAACCAAATAACCAACGGTAACCGCTAGTATCCCTACTCCGGACTATATTCTAATAATAGCTATATTAACTAGTGAGGTGTCCCAAACCATCCTATACCCTGGGCTACATTAGGCTGCAACCCTATATTAACTAGTGAGGTGTCCCATACCACCCTATAGCCGGGTCTACTCTTTTCAATGTCTTTTATCTGGCCTGATGTGCCGTTACTGAGCCTTATTACTGCATTGCTATAGTCAAAATAACTAACAATTTCACTGTTCACCGGTATGCTAACGTCAAAATAACTAACAATTTCACTGTTCACCGGTATGGAGTTTTACTGTATTATACTTGTATATGTCCTGTACTTGCATGTATTCTGTGGCCAGCGCCTACATATGATAGCGACAATGCTAGTTTTGTTTACAGTTAATGCAGAAAGCATCTGTACTTAGCTATATATTTACTAGTGAGGTGTCCCAAACCATCCTATACCCGGGGCTACATTAGGCTGCAACCCTATATTAACTAGTGAGGTGTCCCATACCACCCTATAGCCGAGGCTACATTAGGCTGCAACCCTATATTTACTAGTGAGGTGTCCCAAACCATCCTATACCCGGGGCTACATTAGGCTGCAACCCTATATTAACTCGTGAAGTGTCCCATACCACCCTATAGCCGAGGCTACATTCACTCTAAATAAAAATTACTTGACAACTAGTAATTTAATATATTACTAAGTATTTTACAAAATTACTTAACATGTAATTATATTACTAGTAATTACTAGGTAATAGTTTTTTGATGTGAATAACTAAATTCAGTAATTATTATACTATCAATGTTAATAAAAATTACTAATATCTGTATTTTCATTTTATTTGTATGTAATTATATTACTAAGTAATTTCTTCTAGATATAACTTACTACCACTCTCAATATGATTACTTAGTACTTCTGTAAGTAATTCACGTTATTGCTTGTTTAAGTGAATTCATATGTAATTGTATTGCCAAATATGTTTTGCATTTGTAAATTGATCCATTTCAGTAATCATAGTTCCACCAAAGTAAATTAATTATTTGTACATGTTATTCACTTATAAAATGTCTTTTTCTCAGTATATTTTACAGATCACAAATCCCCTTCTCACGTTGTTATAGCATGACGGTTACGTCAAGGCGATTTGCAAAATTTTGCGGTAACGATAACAAAAAATGGCGGATGGGAAAGGCAGAATGTCCTCTTTCTCGCCTGTAGGCAATATTCACGGTTAAGATTTCCTTTTAAACTAGTTCCATTCGGTGACATATATATGGATTGTTTTAAAGACTTGGTCAAATCTGCTAGGAATTCTACAAGAAACAGAATATAAGCTGTAAACCTACCGACTGAGATATCCAAGTTAATAATTTTTGGTCCATTCTCTTGTTTTCTCAGTACATGTGACTCAGAACAAATCAAAATATTAACTATAAGTAAACTGTGTATAAACAAGCCAAAAATGACAAATCCAGAACAGGAACGTGGTGTATGTTGTAAATAATAAGGTTTCAAACGCAATGTCGTTAGAAGCCTACGTATGACTTCTATCGATTTCTATGGATGGTAACGTATTGTTTCAGTTGTACATTAGATATTTAGCGGGTGGTTACGTGCATCTGTTAAATCAAGGTTGCTATATCTGATAGCCGCTCTCCATATTATTGTTATAATGGGTAAGAAATGGAATATTGAATTTCCTGTATTTGTTTTCAGGACTCGCACGAGACGCTCTTGTTTCAGCCTCTATAGGGCAAGGAAAAAACTGTCGCTTGCTTTATTTATGAAACCAATGAAAGTGTAAAAGATAGCAATGAAGAGGCAAAAGAAGATTTAGGATCAAGTACTGATGAAGATGACAAAATTAATAACAAAATATTGGGGTTTCATATTTGAATCAGGTTCGCGTAACCGTCCATCAATTTTTCACGTCACCGCAAATTCAAAATACATTATTATCACGGTGTTATAGCATGACGGTTACGCCACCTCTGAAAACGAGGTTGGACAGCTACGTTCACTGATTTATCCAATAAAATGGCCTCGATGGAAGAGAAAACTAAGGTTGGTGCATTATTTTCTACTACTGTGTATCAATAAAAGGATGGACGAGTTATGTAATCATCGCATTCAGTGATACATTCACATAGGCCTACCTCCATCACCTGTGGTTTCGAGGATTCTAATGACTCTACCCCCATATTTGTGGGGAACAAGCAGATTCGCCATTCTGATTTGAAATAGTTCTCACGTCGTGTGTGTTGTTGAGATGCGATATTTACGATTAGCAATAGCAAAGGCATATTTCTAGCCTTGAAGAACTGTAATTTATATAACTATGCTGATGATAACATAATCTCTGTGATTGATGAAAACAAACAATCGGTTCTTCAAGACCTGGAATCACAGTCTTCTCTTGCCATCAACTGGTTTAATCAAAATAAAATGCTGGCAAACCCTGATAAATTTCAGGCTATGGTGTTACAACGTTCAAGGATTAACTCCAATTTCCTCCCAGATACTCTAACTTTTGGCAATTCTTCAATTCAAACAGATCAATCTGTGAAGGTCCTTGGAGTAACCCTTGATAACAAGCTCACTTTTAACGATCATATTAAAGAATTATGCATTAAGGCAGCACGTCAAATCAGTGCCCTTAAGCGGCTTTCAAATTTATTAGACATGGAAAGTCGCATGACAATATTTAAGGCCTTTGTCTTGTTACATTTTAATTATTGCCCGGTAGTATGGCACCACTGCTGCAAGACAAATGCTCTTAAATTGGAAAAGCTCCAAGAAAGATGTCTCCGATTTGTTTACAAGGACTATGAGTCTGATTATGATACTCTTTTAGACAAATCAGGCCTGCCCACCTTAACTCTAGGTAGACAAAGGCAGATAGCAATAGAAACTTTTAAAATCATAAATAATCAGTCTCCTAGTTACCTTAACGACATACTACAGGAGCGTACATCTAGATACAATTTACGTCACAAAATACTCTAAATGTCCCATCTTTCAATACTGCAACACACGGCAGACACTCTTTTAGAGCTGATGCATGCTTTATATGGAACAATCTACCCAATGATATCAGAAATTGTGTATCTTTAACAGAGTTCAAAAAACTAATTAAATCATGGAACGGTGAAAACTGCAAATGTGCAA